GTGTTTTGCAAGCAATTTACATTGCCATATAATTCCGTGGTCAGTCTGCTGCATAAATTAGAAAGTCGTGCTTTCTAATGTGAGATTAAGTCTAGTTTAGGTGTAGTGTATTCCACAGGATGAGGAGTTACTTGGTTAATCTCATGAGCAGAACATATTTTACACTTAGCAGTGTGCATAGGATTTGGCTGAACTAGGTGTCAGCAAGTTGGAAGTTAGTTCTGCTAATCACCTACTAATCTGACCCCCAAGGGGGTATGGATACTCCCTAAATCTCCACCGCCAGCAAGAAAAAAATTTTGGATACATAGCATGAATGAGAGACAGGTATCCTGTGGGAGACTTCACTTCTATTAAAGACAAAAGAAGGTGAAAAGGAAGTTTTGAGGCTGTATTGCCCAGTGTTCTCTGTGAAGTCATGACTACCAAATTATAGGTCAAAACTAAACATCAGAGTAGCCAGGCTATGGTTTAGGGGATAACAGCTCACAAAATGCCCATTTGTCCTCTCAAGCAGAAGAAATGGTTAAAACATCACTTATAAGTCTTATTGATAGCACAAAAAGGTAAAAAAACCCAGCTTTTAGCTTCAGGAAAGCTAAAAGATGCTGCGGTAGTTAATAGGTTTACAAAACTCATGGACACATAGAATAGATATCTCTAAGAGTTTATTCTTTCTTCGCAGTGAGTAGTCACTTAGCATAGGGAAGGGAAAAAAAAAAAAAAAAAAAAAAAAACAGACAGAGGATGCAGACCAAGAAATTAGAGGAATAAAACATAAAACAGGCTGAGTTAGAATTGTAGCAAAGTGAAAGAAAGTGGAAGATATGTACTTCCTGGGATGTGGGAATAACAAAAATTATTTTCCAAAGCTGCAAAGGATTAAAAGAGAATGTATTAATCCTCAGTGTATTTTTTCTCACTGTGACACAAGCTAGCCAGTCATAGAGGGTTATACCTGTCCTCGAATTATCCTTCTGCCTTAGATAAATACGCTTAACAGGAAACAGCTATATGGGGAATCCAAACCCTACAATTCTAAGAGGTTCTTATTTAATATCTGTGAACCTCTATGTTTCTGAGGCACAAAATTTAGCCCAACTGGGTACATTTTCACACAGACATGAGGGAGAAAGGGAATATGATTTTTACAAAAGTTTATTTCTTCCTACCTAGAACTATGGAAGAACTAACATTAAGGAAAAAATGAAGAACAGTTTATTGTTTTTAATCCTACAATACCTATTTATATTCTTAGTCTTGCTTTTGTTTTTTCTGGACTGAAATTTCACCAAAGCATACAACAGATAACCAATAAAGAATTTCTCTCTAGCAAATAACTGCAATGATCTGCTGTGACAGGCAATGCTGTCAGACTCCTCTGTTGAATAACTGTGAATGGATAAAATTTTATTTTACAAAGACTTTTAATTCCACTGAATCTCAAGAGATTTGAACTGGAATACTCAAAGTCACTTATTCATAAAACTTGTTTAACCTTATGTTTTCTTCAGCAGTACTACTTAATGTTAAAATCTTTCTGAGACATTCTTCAATGAAAAACTACAAAACACAAAAGAAATTACATATTCAGACAAGTTTTAACACTATTTTTAGCTTTGCTATCAAATAACCTAGTTTTTAAATCCTTAGAATTTAATCCACATTTAACTTATTTAATTACACTATGACTGGTTCTATAGCATATTTGAAAAGTTCTAAACATAATTACTTTTACCAAGGCAAACTTTCCCTGCAGAAAACAATGTTTTCTACATGTCATTTTGTCAGACAGAATGAGTATAGACTGTTAAACTGAAAACTCAGATATTGAGAAACCTCACTGATGACCCGAAGGGATCAGGCCTTTATCAGAAAGAAAAATCATTTGTACTTTCTCTAGCTTGAACTTTGTGCTGAGCTGAGCTTCAGAATCTGTTCTCTATTGATCATCTAGGACTGAAGAAGTCAGAGGTGAACTTCTCTGTGTTGCTTGTTTGTTTTTTTACCCCAAGCTTTTTTTTTTTTTTAACCATCATTAAGTGTCAACAATACAGCTTAACGAGCTGCTTGTTACCCACAGAACCACACGGATATTTCTTGGATTGCAGCTGTGCGTCCAGGGCCCCAAATTCAAGCACAGTTGCGTTGAATTCTCCTTTTTTTGCAGGTCATTCCATAGGCATGGCAGAGATGCTGGAGAGGATTGAAGGTACTGCTGGTTGTTGTGGGTTGCATGTCTTCACTACTGCCCGTGATTTCACTAAGATAAAATTATACTTTCATAGGCACCACACAAAGACTCAGAAAGATGAGTCTCTTCTGAAAAGCTACCTTGTATTTTTAAGGTTCTTGGCATTTTTAATGGTTGCAGCAGTTCAAAGTACTGAAAATAACACTTTTGAAATTATTTCTTCCTTCTTAGTTAAGAAGTATCACAAATATTAAAGAATGCATTGGTTACTTTAAGTCTACCTTCATTTGAAATGAGTTTTATATGGTGAAAATCTCTAAGCATTTCTGAATTATTTAAAACATTTCATTGACCTACTTTACCAAAGCCTGTATTAATGAGGAAAAGTGACTTTTTTTCTGAAGCCTACTTACAATAAAAACCTAAGGTAATTATTTCAGTCATCAACATAATCCCAAAAGGTGGGACTTTATGTGGTGATCAGACCTCTATGATATTTTTGCCTCATTAAGTTTTATAACGCTGCTATTCTTGTAAGCACTTTGTCCTATAAATGCAAAGCCACAGCAACTAGAACCAGCCAACAGAGACCAAGGGGACTCAAGAGACACAAGCAGATTATTCTACTGTTTTTTATTTTTTGGGGTAGTCCAAGTCCTTTCAAGAGTAAAAGATAATGAAGTTCAAGTAAACAACACTAATGATAAATTAAGGATCTGAGGCACAAAATTTAGCACTCAGTTTTGACTCTCATCAAGTTTCAAGTGTATTCAGACTGAAAGCTCTGAACAGAATCTGTTGATGGAAAACAATTACAAGTGAACACAAATACCACAAATGTGGGAAAGAGTCAGCTAAAACAGTATACAGCAGCACAGATGGGTGAAAGGTACAGTAGAACAGCATAGATGGACGAAGTTCTGTTCAACTTAGGACATTAATCCTTACTTGTATTTTGTTTACTTTAATTGTAATAATCTAGATATTAATCCCTAATAGGACTGCTCTGATTTCAATACAGTAAAATTACAAGATGAAACTGTATGAAACTTTCTGACAGATGATATACTTGTTCAAGAATAATTTTTGGGGGGAAAACTTGAAATAAATCCATTCTCAAAAAAAGTGGTAGAAAATTTGTATAAAATTAACAAAGATTGTTTCTTGGTGCTTTTAGAGGAAAGCAAGAACATTTCAGGGCCAGCATGAAACTCTTTAGGATCAATGGAATCGATCCAGTACTCCCCAACTAAGCAGATTTCTAACTATAAAATCAATGTGTTCAGTTCTGAAAATATTACAGTGAAGCCTTTTTATTTTTGAAGGAGGAAAAATATTTTTCTGCTGAATCCATTAATGAATTTAGTATGAATTCAAAGTACCTAATCCCATGATGCAATCCTAAAAATATAGAAAATTTAAGAATGATGTTATTTAAATACAAATGTTATTGAAATTTGCTTTTAAATACCCATTATAAAAAGAAAAAAAAAAAAAAAGAAAAAACCAAACCACAACTAATTAAAACAAGAGAGCTATAATAGTTTCTGCTTTAGAGAGACTAATAGAAGTGATGGAAAAACTTGAAACACTTTTTTTTTGATGATTGAAAATGAACTTTAATACCTCTGAATTAGTCTTACTCTTCAACAAATCCTAATATCGGAGATAGAAGAGACTTATTTGTACATCATATTTAATATCTTGAATAGCTTTTGTACCTTTGATTTTAATAAATCCGACAATATAACACAGATTCCTGCCACATTTATACTGGTAGAAGTGCAAACTAAGTCAGAGTTTGAACTTTGCTCTCTTTAACTTTAGACCTAGATGGATTTGGTTTGATTTTATACCAGTACAGCAAAGCATATCTTATTTAACACAAGACTTCTTACTCTTTCATTGCAATAACCGCGCATCAAACTTACAACAATCCCATCCATTCTGTTCCTGATCATGTCTAAGATTATCTGAAAAGTCTGTTGTGTTTTGTAACTTGGTGAGCTAGGCAGAAACTGCTTAGAGAACTTATTCATTTCACAGATGATTCATAATAAATCAGGTTGGAAAGCAGGCCATTTCCAGAGCTGACAAACTGACACATTATGTGACCTTAGCCCACACAGGAATTTCATATTGTTTCTATAATTTTTATATAGTTTTTAAAATTATAAATACCTGTATCTGCAGATTCATACTAATTTTCATGCTAAAAGATTCTTTCAGGCACTCACTCCTCCTCTTTTTTTTATAATAAAATATTTTTAAAAATGTCTAAGGTGTACATTGCAGCACTAGAAGGGTTGAACCAACCAGAAACCAGACACAAGGTTAATGGGAGCATAAGTCTCCTGTTAAAACAATTTTCTATTAATTTAGGAGGCAAATATATAGACAAAAAGTACATTTACATTCCATATTAGTGCAGAGAACTATTGTAGAGATGAAAAGCTGTACATAGAGAATGACCTATAAAGTTACAGGTAAAATAAACACAGCTTGTAAAAGATAAACCAAGTTAGATTATGATGACTTTATAATTTAAGGGAGTCACATCCCACCAAAAAGAAGGGGAAAGTGACTGAGATTATCAAATCCCCTCAATGTGGATTAAAGTGAGATAATACTCAAGGTCTGTACACAAACACCAACTTTAATATTAATATGGAACAAATATTCTACAGACTTTGACTCTCTCACAGTTATACCTCACCTAAGATAACGGGGGGTTGAGAGAAATCAAGGTAGGTCTTGTGTTACTTAACAACTTAAAGGGAAAAAGAGGGAGGGTGGGCAGGGGGAGAGAGAGAAAGAGAGAGGTCACCAGTCCTGGATTCAGCATCAGGGCTGTTTAGTGGAGAGAGAGAGAGAGACACACACACAGAGAACCACTGGAAGTCTCCCCTGGAACGTTGTCCAGGCACACGGTGCAGTCACATCACCTGAATGAAGAACAAGGAAAATAAATCAGTTGTAAAGCACAAAGACAAATTCAACTTTATTGATTTAAAATATGGCAGTAAGAGAGGGATAGAAATCAAGCTGAAAAGGGCAGGAGGTCTCCCATCTGTGTTATAAGATACATAAACAAAGAGATACCATCACTCAGTCTCTCACTACATCTTTATTTTTGCGTTTCCAAACGCAGTGTAAACTAGACAAGTAATTCAGGGAGTATTTTGCAGCAAAGAAGACAGTGAAAATCCATCATCCAATATTCTGGTGTCAGTTATAAGAGCAGCATCTTTAGAATATGTGCCATGTGTTTGCCATGATCTACTAATACATATGGTGTGTTTGTACAATGAAATTATAAAACAGTTCTAATATTATTTAGTTTAGTAGTTTCAGTTTTCTCTTATATTTCAAGTATCTCTGATTGTCAATCTACATAGTAGTTCAAAATATTTTATAGGTGAGTGGGGAAAGGGAATAAGAAGAAATTTTCTACTTAAAAGTGGAAGCAGGAGGGAGCATGGTAGCAAATGCTATAGTGATTTAAAGGAATAAACCAGTACCATCTGATGATAAATATTAACCATTACTGAGGTTATTGTAGGGTTTTACTAATTCAGCATCAAGAGTTCTAGTTTCATGTTCATCTGCACTACACTTTGTAGCTTGGTCTCTCTGCAATCTCAACTTGACACTGCCATCAGGTAAGTTCCCTGTAGCTACACTGGATCACTTAGGAAATAATGGATGTTTAACGGATGCATGAAAAGTGTTTACTTCTGCCCCTATCCAAAGTTCTTCAGTAGTCTATTGACCCCTTATTTAAAATGTTAATCCTGGAATTACAGAATCACAGAATGGTTTGGGTTGGAAGTGACCTCAAAGATCATCTCATTCCAACCTCCCTGCCGTGGGCAGAGACACCTTCCACCAGCCCAGGTTGCTCAAAGTCTCACCCATCCTCGCCTCAACACTTCCAGTAACGGCGCATCCAAAACTTCTCTGGGTGATCTGTTCCAGTGCCTCACCTCCCTCTAAGAAAAGGATTTCCTCCTAGCATTTAATATAAACCTCTACTCTCTTATTTTGGAGCCATTAACCTTGCTCTATCACTATTTGCCTGTGTAAAAAGTCACTCTCCTTATTTTTTTTAAACCCCCTCTAAGTACTGAAAGGCTGCAATGAGTTTTCTCTGTAGTCTTATAACTTAACAGTTGGTGGTGTCCTGGATCTCATTGTATCAGCATTATGGAAGGAAGGACTATCACTAGCTTCTGATCTATTTGATTTAAAAACTATTCTAAATTTAAATACATACAGTGAACTACACCCATTCAGGACGAGCTGAGAAGACTGAAGGTATCTTTTCATGCATATGTGTCCAAATATAGATGTTTAGAAAATTACATAACATACAGTTTCCTGAATACAAACTGTGGACTAACTAAAGTAAAATCTTGTCATCAGGGAGCTCCATTCATTATTTGAGACCATTACTCATGAGGAAAAAAACCAATCAACAAAAAAAACTAGCCCAGGTCAGTAGCTAGAAAATAGTACCTAGATAATTCTGCCAAAAGCTCTCTTGGAGACCCTTATGCTAAACTGAGTAGTACCTTAAGAAATTATGTCTATACCTGTCACAAAGACATTTAAGTAAGGATCAGAGGTATTTACAAGCTAGAGGAAAAATAATTTACCTTTTTGAGGACTGCAATAGAACAAAAGACTGAGAGATTCTAGGAAAAATCTATAAAATATTGGTTTCTGTTGATGCACACCTGTGAACTTATCATGTTCTTTACTTGGGTTCAGCACAACAAAATTTAAGAAAGTATTTTTTATTGAATGCTGTGACTTCCTTCCTAAAATTTTTACTGCAGCGTAATGGCAGCCACATTTTCAAATCCTCACTGAAAATACTTGTATCTCCTAAACATATCCCTCTTTGCTGTCTTCATCAGTATTAATTCATTTATAATCTTACAACAAAAGCAAGACAAGCTTGGACAATCATCTGGACATATCCCCACAGCCATATTAGCTAAAGTACATCAATATTCCTTTGAACTGCTAGATTTTCTTTATAAAGTACATATTAAAAATAAAGTAAGAAAAGATGTTGTGTAACATTATCTCTATGAGGAGAAGAATAGTTGAAGTAATTTAAATAATAACCCCTACAACATCATCCACAGTAGTCAAGGAAATTTTTTTGTGTATATATGTAAATATGTAAGTATGTAAGGACATGTAGATGAAACAGTGTTTGAATTAATCATAGAAGTGAAACTGAAAAGACCATTATTAAAGTGTGATTATCTGACAGAAAAACATATAATCTTGTTTGAGGCACAAGAAGACCAGGACAGTGCATAGTGGACAAATCATTGCTATTGTATTTACAAGACTGCAGGCCTGTTAAACATAAATTCTTGCCAAGTCTAGCGTAACACAGAGGAAAACTTTATTAACCTACAGTCATTAAGATGAATCGTGAGGGTCAGGTTTATAAGTTTCTCATTTTTTGAGTCTTTTCTAGTACTTTCACATGACTTGATATGATCTTCAAAATAGGATGTTGCTGCAAATGCTGTTGCAGTTACAAAGGAAACTTTTCTAAACCCAATGAGTTTCCTACATTGTGGAGGACGCAAGGTGCTTGAAGAGTAACCCATTGTTGGGGTGGGTTTTTTACATCTTTTATTCTCTAGAGAATTAAGCTTTGACAGATAGTCCTGAAATCTCTATTTAAACCCAATATAAGGCAGTTAAAAGAAGAAAAAATGAGTTTCATTATATGAGTTACGACACCAGTTAATAGGAAAACAGATACAAAAAAAAAAGAAAACCTGAACCAAAAAAAATATCTTATTAGCTGACTTGATTTCCATTTGCCATCTGCATCTCATTTAGGACTGATCACAAGACAAATTCGTGGTTTCTTAATGCTGAGTCACGTTCCCTGGGTAAGCTATATCCTGCAGGCTTTTTGTCTCTGAACAGGAATTAATTACAGGGAGCAAAGCCCTTCCATATGAATGCCTCTACTCACTAGGAATGTCATCAAAAATAAAGAATTTGAACTTCTAGGAACTTTCTGTAATTCAGAGTCTCAGTAATTGAGGCACTAGAATACCCCAAAATTCCTGCTCATCAAAACTGTCTGAGAATACATTTCCCTTTAGCACACAAAAATGAGTCGTAGACATTCCCTCCATGCTGTGTGTACCACGAAGACTTGTTAACTACCTTGTCAGTAGAGAATTAATGTAATGTGTGTCCCTTCCCAATAGACAGGTTGGTGGGGTTCAGTCAGACTCCCTTCTTTGCTCGTATCACTGTATGTGTAAAAAATTTTCTACTAGGCTTAATCATTAAACAAATATTTTGGTGGAGAAAAATATTTTAATATTCATTTTGGCTATTTAAAATAAAAGTGGTGAGTATGAAGAGAAAGGATTTGCTACTTCTCACTGCCATTTGTCAAAGTGTCAAAAACCTATGTAAACAAATACATTTATTAAAATGTACTTTTGAGTCCCTCTTACTATACTAAGTCAATAGGCATTAGTTTTGTATAACACATACGTATTAAGGGAAGATTAAACTTGTAAGAGAGGCTTCAAATAGTGCTACTTTGTACTTTGGTGTAGGTACTTTGGTGGATGTTGCAAAGCATGGTGTCGTGCCTGCAGGAAATGAAAATGATCCTTGTCAACTACCAGGAGAATAAAAAACTCAAACTGTCCCCTTCCCATCTACTTCTCCCACAAGAACCTTGATATCACCTGGATATACAGTACCAGTTGCCACTACACATCATCTACAGAGTAGCTGAAGAGAAGGTTAAACACCCAGCTGAGAGTAATGGCCTATCTTTTATTTTTTTTGTCTTTCAAATCTCTTTCATGTCCATTATTTGAATATGATCCTGCATTTTCTGAACAATGTTCCCTGATTTCTTTCCAGGTAGGCAAAAGGGGGTGGGAAACCTACTCTGGTCAGCTGCCTACTCAGCAACAGGATTGGGATTACATTTTTTGTCATCATTGTTCACATTTACAGTGGTTTAAAGATTTAGTCATAACCACAGTAGATACTACTCTAAGCAGCAGTAAAATCAATGTGGTGTAGTTAATCCTGATGTTCATTCTGACACTCACACGATTTGTGATTGTGAAGATTACACACACTGTGGAAAATAAACACAACAGAAGGAATACCATTTACAAGTATTTTCTGTTACTGTAATCCTACAAAGCACTTAACACCTCTTTGATGAACTGTGGATACCTTCTGAAAATCATCCTTCAATCAAATTATAAGTAACCCTTAAGCATATTTTCAAGTCAGTTTTAAGATATCTTAAAATAATGTATATACATTGTCTGCTGGTTTAATCCGTCAAATGCAATAGAGTATTTGATTACTAAAAATATTATTGAAAAGTATCATCCTTTGTTTCTTGGTGACATTTAAGCCTTGGGATATTATAGCCCATTGTAAGTGATAAACCTAAAATACCATCTTCAGGGCATATTATAGAAATTTTAGTTGCCTTTGTGTGACCAAATTTCATTTTAAGATGTGCATTTTTACCCACCCAGTACTAACAAAAATCCTCTATGTTTTTTCTTACTGATATTCTTATAACAAGGTCATCTCATTTGGAGGGCATGAAGCTTATGTGAAGCTCAAGTCAGGCAGATGTTTTATAGCTGCAATAATGGAATGTAAACAACTATCCAAATACAACCCTCTTCATACTAGTCCTTCTACCAGAGGGAAAAAAAAAGGCATAGGACAGTAGGGTTAAAAGACCAATAATTCACATTCTCTTGGGGATTGCAGCCATTGTTTTGCACGTTTATAGATGGTCATCATTGCCAACAGCAATTGAATAGACAATGTGTTC